TCAGGCGAATAAACATATTGTCCCAGTGATCGAGTCTTCTTCTTCTTCTCAAATTTCTAATTATGAACTTTTTTACGATTGAGAGGGGTTCATTCATAATACATTGTATCCATCAATTTATTAAAGGGTATCTTTCGGATTCTAGAAAGTTTCTAAAGGGCCGAATAGTTTTGAAACCTACTGACTGCTACACTCGAATTCAAGATTTACAAACTGTGCACTGTATATATCCTGTTTAAGGAAAAGTACGTTTGCACCTTCAGTTTGAGGAATAAGTCACATAGTTCTCATAAAATATTGCAATAGATGTGGAGCATGCTTTATACAGTATAGGCCGCATAAATAAATTGACGGATATGATGTATTATGAGTGAACCCCTCATAATCATAAAAAGCTCATAATTAGCAACTTTTTTTAAAACCGAAAGATACCCTTTCTTTAAGTATAAAATTGAAAGAAGACGTAATTTTCTACCAAACGAGTACAGGAGATAATATTGTTGTACATGTTTTCCATAAAACATACTTGATTCCACGATCGTCCAGAAGCTTCACAGTTGAGAATCGGGAAGTTAAAACAGGAAGCTACCACTGGAGACGGAACATTCTGTCACCAGCCTATAGAGGCTCCATTTGTAATTACATAATAAAACAAGACACAATGCGCCCACGTTAAATTTTCACTTCCATGTACCACTTCATTTCCTTTCTCGATTTAAATAAATTGATTCTGATTTAGTTTAAGCGCTATGCTGTTACAAATGTAACATCCGAGCACACGAGATTCTTGAAAAGCGTAGCTTCTTTTCGATTAGGCCGGTACCCTAACAGCAAGTAGACCTCGATTCGAGTTCTACATTTGCTTTACAATGTAGAGTCCCATTTTTCAGCCGGACAGGGGATACATCCTACCTTGCGAAAACCCCCTTTTTCGAAACGCAGTAGTACAGTACTTTTTTGAAGACGTTTAGTGGTTGGAAATGTTTATTGTATAAAAAGTAGGATAAAATATTATTCTACAATAAAAAAATAGAAATCTGTGATGATGGTTGGCGCATTACATTTCATTGCTGTAGGCAGGACTGTGGAAGTCCGTTAGGGACGGCATGGGGTACTTTTAGAACGGCCGGTCCCATCTTCGTCGGGGGGATTGTCATCTGCGAGAAAGAAAGTACATTGCGCAGTTAACAAGTATGAATCAGTGGTGCAGCCAGTAGTGTAAGCATATGGTACCCCACTGTAAATAAAGTTTTCGATTGAATTCACCATGGTGGCGACGGCGCCTGGGCAACGGGTAATTCCTGCGCATTGATCAATCAGAAGCCTTCTTGTAGGCTTTCTCAAAGGCTTTAGGAATGTCTCCACGGTCGCAATTGTGCGCCGTGCACCATTGAAACCGACCTCTGCGTTCAAGAAGGTCATACCGGCCCTAAGTACGTACTTAGGGGTTCATCTGCGTCCGATGACTTCTTGATTTATTCTTCCACTGTAAATGCACTAGGAACTTTGTTATTCATAGCAGACATCTAAAGTGGTGGGAAGCAGATGAACATGTAAACAGACAAAGGGTTATTCCTAATGGATGCGGCAAAATCATAAAAGGATTTATAAACCACCAAGAACAAGCTTCACAACGACAGTCGGGGGAAGTTGGTTCTGAAAACTGCCGTCAGGGAAGGAACAAAAATCCTGCACCTTCACTGCAAGGACACCCTATCTGCTCATGACTATGCTGCCATCACCTATGATTAAGGATTCCCGACGGAATTCGAAAAGTCAGAA